GAAAATCATTGAAGTGTTTAAAGCAAGTCAAAGGGTAAGATTTGTGTTTTCACAGAAAGCCTTGTTAGACAGTAATGTGATGCCTTCAGGACAGCCTGGCACTCAGATCCTATGTTTGTCCTAACCTCAGTCTAAGTACTTGAGCTCAGCCTAAGATGAATGGACACTGGGAGGCTTGAAGTGTATGGAGATACAGTCCATGACAACCATCGTGAAGAGCTGGGGTTACTGCACAGACAATGCAACATGTCATTTACTGTCAGATCTGGGGGATGCTGTGCTCTGGGGTCTGAGAGAGTCTGATGGAGCTCTGCAGCTTTTAGAAACAGCAGGCATTGTTATGTATAGCTTTCAGAAACCCCTTCCAATCAGGCTCACCCTCTCTGTCAGTTAGAGGATAAACTCCATGTTTCTCAGCAGTCAGGTTGAGAGAGCAAAAAAAAGAGGATGAAGACAAACTGAATTCTAGCTACTAATCTCTGAGATGCAGTATATAAATATGCCATATTCACTCTCTTTCATTTGAATCTGCCTTCCTGGGAAGAGACCATATGTCATAAAAAAATTCATAGTTTCTTTTAGATTAATCTTCAGTAGGAAGCCCAAAAATATTAAATCTCAGTGCTCTCACATTTTTCACCTCGCCTCATAAACAATTCAATTCAGTTGGAATTAATATTTATCGAGTGCTAACACAATGCATGGCAATATAGTGGATGCTGTAAGAGAACTGCTACATAAAAGGGATAATACCCGTGTCCTACTTTAAGAAAACAGTCTGTTATAAATATGAGACAATAGGACAATATAGCAATAACAACCATTGCACCACAAGATAGGATCAAAAGTTATTTAATTCTGTCACCATTTATTAACCATCTACCATGTTCAAGGAAACCAATATGTCCTAAACCAAACTGGAGAAGGCTATGTTGAGGAAGACCAGAAAAAAGGAATATAGATTTTGTTTGAATAAGAGAGTTGTGTCATTCGTAGAGAAACAGATTTGTGCTATACCTCATGTATGAATAAATGAGGCTATTCCTCTCAGCCAGAGAGAGGTGAATAGATCCTCATTTGTTGATTTATCTGGAGTGTTTTTGTTTGTTTGCTTTTGGTTAAATGATCTTAGAGGTCTTTATACGTTGCTTTATTTTGCCAAATTATGCTGCCCAAACTAGCCCAGCATTATGTAAAATTTGGTTTTTCCAAAAACTCCAATAGATAAGAATACAGGTTCTGTCATTGCTTGGATTTAAATCCGGACTCCACCACTTATTAGGTTATTAGATCTTTTTGTCCTTCAGTTTCACCATCTACAAGATGATCACTACATTTACATCACATCAATATTGAGAGACTGAAATAAAATAATACCTGTAAAAACCTTAGTCTGGGACTGGCTTATAGTGTTCAATGAATGTGAGCTATTTTTCTCCTACAGTAATGTGGAAGAAATTAAGATATGCATTCCCAAAAGCATATAGAACTGTTTTTAGAGCTTTCTTTTTTTCATCAAGCCCACATTTTATAAACAGTAGATAGACCAGTGGATAGATGGGTGGATCGTGGATAAACAGATGATTGTAGTGATAGGGAGATAAAATAACACAGGTTGCGTTCCCTGGGAAGGGTTATAAAAGATGTGCATGCAGGAACTTTGTTGGGAGGGTCACAGGATCAGCTTCCTTATTCCTACAGCTTCCAGAGTTTGGGAAGCTGGTAGCCCTTACTTAACCAAATCCCTCTCTAGGGAATGCCCTTGGCTAAAGAAAGCTACCTCACCCAAGGCCATGACCCCTTTACACGAGCAGCCTGAATCCAGTGATTGATGTAGCAGGACAGGGGCCCAGTCTTTTTTTTCCTCAGTTTGAGCCAACTCTGAGGAGTTATCCAGAACATCCCATAAAATAGACAAAGGCCTTTGGGTGAAGGCACTGAACTGTAACCTGCGGCTGCCCAATCCTGCTTTCTTCTCCTTCTCAGAGGTATTGATGCTGAGAGTGTGTAATCAAAGATCATGATTTAATGAAACTCATAAGATTTACTGCTTCACCAAGGGCATTCTTAAGAAACACTAGCTTTCCATCTTTCTATAAGTGCCTGTGTCAGAGAAGAATATGAGAATACTAGTATAGTTTGGTTTGGTGCTACTGACTTTATTCCTGATGAGGCTCCTGCAGTTTTACCCATCAGAGTTTTGTACCATTTGTGCAAATATCAACCTAATGAAAAAATGCAAAAACATGTACTTAGTGCTATTATGAAAATAATTTTAACCTCGTGGACCCTTGAGAATGTCTTGGCCAATGAATTAGAAGTAAATATCCTACATTTATAGTCCTATAAAAGAACATGAGGAAAGTAGTTTAGATCGTTTTAATACACCAAAATCTTGTTTTTTAAATGATACCACTTACCATTATTAGAACCGTTATTACCATGATGATTGACATGAAAGCAGTTAATCTAAATCTTCAAATGTTAGTGACAAAAATATTTTAAGATTAATTTTAAAAATAACTTGCATAATTGCCAAAAAGTAGAAGTAACTCCATCAACTGATGAATATACAAAAGGAATAGAAATTATCCAGCAATAAAATGAATAAATTATTGAAACATGCTATGGGTGGATGAACCTTAAAAACATACTAGGTAAAAGAAGACAGTCACAAAATACCACATATTGTGTTATTCCATTCAAGAGATACCCAGAACAGGCAAATAGATAGAGCTAGAAAGTAGATTACTGGTTGCCCAGGGTGGTGGGAGGAGTTAGGGGAAGTGAGGACTTATTGCTGGTAAGGATGGGTCTTTTCAGAGGGGATGATGAAAAAGTTCTAGAATTGATTTTGGTGATAGCTGTACAACTCCATGAATAACATAAAAACTGAATTGTATACTTTAAAAGATACATTGTATGGTACATTAATTATATTTCAATAAAAGTATTAAAAAGCAAATTGGTGCTTTGTGACACACTCAACATAGATAGAACATTAAATTTCAGCCCGGTCTTAAGTAATTATTTCTCTTCATATTTGTAGGAGCATATATTGAGAAGTGATTTTTCAGGAAAGTGAGAAGGGAATTTTCTGACTCATTAAAATTGAAAAAAAAAAACACGTTATAACAGTAATAACAAGGATGTATTAAATAGTAACTATTATTAAATTAAGCGAGGAGCTGTGCTGTCTGCTTTGTATGTGATTCTCCCTGCAATTCTGAGTTAGATAACTCTGTTCCCATCGTGTAGATAAGGAAACAGACTCTCAAGTTTTCAGGTGCCCCATTAACATTCCTTACTACTTTAAAATTCTACTTGACAAGAATTATGATAGGAGGCAACTCCATTTTTGAATAGGTAAAAGAGCCAACTTTTAAACTTCAGTGTACTTCATTCTAGGCCGAAAGAACTTATATTTTCAATTCCACTCAAAGGTTTCAAGATTCCTAATAGAAGAGTGGTAGGTAGTGTACATGATAGAAGAGGCAGATTTCATCTAATAGTGTACTGTCTAAGAAGATGGATTCGAAACATAAAGAGCTAATAACAGCAAAGATTTTCTTTGCTAGGTCATCCTTTATACATTAATTATACAGAAGCACCTGCTTAAATGGATATTCTTGCTGTAAGAGTGTTTTTTTAAGAGAGGGCTTTTTGCCCTTACTCTGCACTTGAGTTGGGAGATATTATCAGAGAGCTCTCAGACAGGTAAGTTGCTACAGCAAGACAAAGTTTATTTCATTTGTAGTATAAGCTTATTCATTTACCTGAACAATGACTCATCATTGTATAGGAGACTGTGTCACCATGACAGCTAGGGTCAGATCGTCTCCGTCCTGAAGCTGCACTATGGTTTGAAATTAGATATGTATTCATCAAAACTGCTTTAACTTTTAAAGTTTTTAAGTTTCTCTTATTTGTGCTTCTAATGTATAGCATAAAGTAACATAGCCCTACAATCTCCTGCTATTCATTTTTAATATCATTCACAAATAAATGTTGCCTGATGTATAAAAAAATAATTTTTCATGTTTCTCTATAACTCCATTAAAGACAGCGGTCTCCAAATAACTAGGTAGAATAATATGCATTATTTTTAAAACTTAAAATATTTTTATTTTTATTTCCTCTAATTTCAAGGGTACTGTTTGTATACTATTTGTATCTGGTCTTGTTGGTGCATACATTTTGCTCAGATAACAATTGGATATTTTTTAACTCTTTAAAATAAAAACATTATTTTAAAGTCAAGGCGGAGGGAATAAGATGGGATCAATTACTTTGATGGGATTGATACTAACACCATGCCTGACTCATTCTCCACATTATTTAATCTAATCCTTCCAACCAGGAGCTAAAACAGTCTCATTTTTCTGCCAATTGCCAACAACTTTTCTATTTTCCCTATAAAATGGAAAAATCTACTTATTTTCTGTTTGCTTGTGCTTTTTTCATTCTTCTGCTGCTTTCCTATACTTGTTTCTTGTTTATACCACCACTTTTTTTTTCCTGAGTCACCTGACCTGACTACTGTTTTTCACAGTATCTCCAGTTATCACATGGGTTTTATACAGTCCTCGGTTTTGCTGCCCTTCTACCCAGCTGTACAGCTGGTTCAAAGCTTACAACTATGGAAAGTGGATTCTATTTGTTTGGTAGCCTTTTTTTGGCAGCCTTTGCTCTTACTTTATTTTACTTTAGTTCTCTCCTATTACCGAAGTTGTTGAAATCACTTTGCTCTGAGAGTTAATTTGGTTGATTTCCTTCTCTCCTTTGTTTAGTTGTCCTTCATTACTTCCAGTTAGATTTTCCCGTTTCTTTAAATGTCAAACAAATTCTTACTTTTCCTTATGAACATAGTCATTGATCACCAAACTTGATGCTTATCTTCATTTGATCCAATAAAATACATATAAGGATCTTATTTAATACACACACGCACACACTGCATTAAAAATAAGTCAATTTAAACAATTGTGATTCTCTTGCAGAAGCATGATGGCCACTTCACAGTCATCCAGTTGGTCGGAATGCTCCGAGGCATTGCGTCCGGCATGAAGTATCTTTCTGATATGGGTTATGTTCATCGAGACCTAGCAGCTCGGAATATATTGGTCAATAGCAACTTAGTTTGCAAAGTTTCTGATTTTGGTCTCTCCAGAGTGCTGGAAGATGATCCAGAAGCTGCTTATACGACAACTGTAAGTTTATATGCCCTTTCTTAATATAGTTTGTTTACTTTTATTGTTTTTAATGTTATTAGAGTAATTCTGTTTCTGCCTTCCTAATTTTCTGCTTGTATTTATTACTTTGCTAATTTGACATCGTTATGTATTTGAGAAGTATTTGCTTTGGGTGTCCAGGTTATAACAACAACAACAAAAAAGAAAACAAAGACTTTTCATACTTGACTGTTTTCTTTCTTTCTTTGTACTGGGACTTCAACATCATGCTTAACGTCCATGTCATGACTGGATGTTATAACATGGGCTGAAATATCTTTGATGATTTAATAATTTTCTTTAAATAGAGTTCTGTGTATCTAAAATGTATAATTAATTACTAACTCAGTAATAGTGAGGAACCAGTGACTATGAAATGACTTTTTTTCCAAATGTTTTTGAATGATCTGATCATACTTAGAATGAACAATATGGGTTTCTTTGGAGATATATAAGTACACTCTAAACCTTTTCCTAAATGATGCTTGGAGAAAATGTGAGCAGAAATGCAAGTTTAAAACTTTAGAACCAAATTGTCATCCACAAATTGTATCACTTCAGTTTGTCCTATGAATAGTGTAAATATTTCTGACTGCCCTAAATCAAGTCATTTCATTGATCTCGTTGGTTATTGTTTTGAGGAATTTGGTCTCAAAGTCTTTGTTGTGCTATCTTCATGCCACTAATTTGTAAAGTTATATTCGGTTATTTTTTAAACAAACCTTCACCATTAACTCATTTGGCAGTCAGTTTCAATGAAAAAGAAATCATTAAAGCTACTCAAAACATTTATATTATATTCTCATTTTCTCACTTTATACATTATTTTAAAAGATGCAGCTTCATATATTGAGTTCCTTTTTATTTCATGCTCTATGAGTTGTTTTGAAACTTTGCTGTATTCAGTTACTCCAGAATAAAATGCAACTTTAATATTGTGAATGGAATATTTTATGCATTACTATATTTGCTTTGTAGAAATGTCCTCTATTAATTTACCAATGATATTTTTCAGTTTCTTCAACAAAGAAATATAGTTCTAAGGAAAATAAATTAATTTCTCATTGTCTGATATATAAAGTAGCCGTGTAGCAGTATCTATTGATCTTTTAATTTGACCAAAAAGCTTCATAAAAATAAGTCTATCAGTTCTGAAAACAATTTGTTCAGTTTAGAAAAAGCAGTATTTTCAACTCCATTTTTAAATTGGAAAATATCATAATTATTTTCACTTTTCTCAAGGTCTTTATTTTCATTTATCTTCACAAATTTATAACTTAAAACAACTTTTGAAGTTGTAGAACAATGAATATAAAATTTTTCCATTAAGCACATTATTTCCAATGCTGAAGAATAATGTTTAAAAGTATTATATAAATATTCAAAATGTAATATTTATAAAAATTGCAACAAATACGATCTACTAAAAAATAAAATATGATGGGAAATTACTAGACTCTTTGTGGCAGTGAGCCTATATAGATAGACTTCAAATTTAATAAAATAATATTTTAACTGCTTTTTAAAATGGTTAGCTTATAACTAAATGTAAGATACTGATGAAATGCAGATTACTGAAATTTTTATACATATGTAAGTTTTGTTACATCAAATCTAACAGGCAGACTCTGTCTTATGTGATTATAAAGACTAAGAGGCCTACGACAGTGCTGTTTAAAATTTAGATTGGACCCCAGACTTAAATAAAAGATTTGGTAACCAGAATATTAACACTCTAAAACCTGCCTTTGAAAAACTGTAGATTATGTCTTGATTAAGAAATAAGTCTCTGAATTTAGAAAGTATCAATTAAATGGCAAATAATATAATCAAGTTTTTTTTTAAGTCTCAGAACTACTTACTGTTCAGAGGTTTGACTTTATAATGAACACGGGCATTCAGCACTTAAAATAGTAAAGCTCTTGCCTTTAAAGACTTTATACTTTGATAGGGTAGAAGGCTCATGCTGCCTTGCAATTCAATACATTAAGTGTTGTCATGGGAGACTTAAAAAGAAGTATAGAAGTACCAAAAAGCAGAGTTTGAAGAAGGCTTCACAAAAGGTCAAAATTTGAACCAAATCTTAGGAGAATTTATTAGGCTGACAAGTGGAGGAAAGGTAGTCCAGATGGGAAAAGAAGAAAGAGAAAAGACATGGAAATGCAAAAAAGTGAATGGGCATATCGATGAGAATTTGGGGCCTAGGGCGATGGAGGGGCCAATTTTCCTGGAATAATTGTAACGGTACCTGAGTGGCACTCCAAGAAATTTGAAGGTTTTTGTATAGCAACTAGGAGACAGACACTGATTTATTTAAACAGGAAATAACAAAAATAGATGCATGTCTTACAAGATATTATTAGGGCCGGGCGTGGTAGCTCACACCTGTTATCCCAGCACTTTGGGAAGCCAAGGCGGGCGGATCACCTGAATTCAGAAGCTAGAGACCAGCCTGACCAATATGGAGAAACCCCATTTCTACTAAAAATAAAAAATAAAAAAAAATAAAAAATAAAAAATAGCCAGGTGTGGTGGCGCACACCTGTAATCCCAGCTACTTGGGAGGCTGAGGCAGGAGAATCGCTTGAACTTGGGAGGCGGAGGTTGCAGTGAACCGAGATCATGCCATTGAACTACAGCCTGGGCAACAAGAGTGAAACTCCATGTCAAAAAAAAAAAAAAAGGATATTATTGACAACAGTGTGAAGAAAGGAAGGAGAGTTTGAAGGACTAGCAGCAGACAGACCAGTTAGGCATTACTGCAATAAACCAGGATGGTCATATGGCTTTAATTAAGGCAATGACAGTTGGAATAAAGAGGAGGGAAGAGAAATAACATAAATTAACATATGTTGTACATTATATGTTCATTATGATTCAATAACTAATTGGATATGAATTGTAAGGAAGAAGGAGGATTTAAAGATGGCACTAACATTTCCAAATTGAACAACTGGTTAAATGGGGATGCTGTTAATCAAGACAGAGAATCCCTAGTAGAGATGACCTGGCTAATGGTATTAGATTACAAAGCAAAAGTATAACAGAAGATATTCTATTATAACAAAATTATAATAGACAGATATTCTGTCTCAAAGGCAAGATAATGCCAAATGATCATTGGCATTCTGTCAAAACTTTGTTTATAAATTTTAGAGCTTTCTCTGAATGTACTTAGTCCCCAAACACTTTTCACATTTCCTCTGAAAAAGAATGAGATAATTAGAAACCCACCTAGTGAAGATACATGTCAATTCAAGCAAACCCTGTATAATAAAATGCAGAGGAAGAATGGTCATTTATATGAAAAGGATTCTTTGTTTTATAAAAACATCTGCATGAAAATAATTTTAAAGCAAAAGCTCCCTTGATACATATATATTTTTATGTATAATTCAGGTTTTTTAAGTTGTATCTATATATAACTTTCTTTGAACGTTTATTTTACCTTAGATGATTTTGACTTTTCTCTTGCTGTGTAACTATAATTGTTATTTGCTCACTATTTGTAAACTTTTTTTTTTTTTTGAAACGGAGTCTCGCTCTGTCGCCCAGGCTGGGGGTGAGTGGCGCGATCTTGGCTCACTGCAAGCTCCGCCTCCCGGGTTCACGCCATTCTCCTGCCTCAGCCTCCCGAGTAGCTGGGACTGCAGGCGCCCATCACCTCGCCCAGCTAATTTTTTTGTATTTTTTTAGTAGAGACGGGGTTTCACCATGTTAGCCAGGATGGTCTCGATCTCCTGATCTCGGGATCCGCCCGTCTCGGCCTCCGTAAATGTTTTTATAATCTGTGTCAGGAAGGATTTGGAGGAAAGAGAGGCTAGGAGGGCTTATAAACAGGAAGACATGATGGATAAAGGTTGGATTTTGTGGGGCCGTTGTCGGGGTGAGGTTTGTAATCTTCAAGAAAAAAATATCTTTAGAACAGTATGCTACATGGAAGCTATCCTTTTCTAATCCAAATAGGGGCAGAATAGACATTTTCCATTCAAATGACTGCCAATTTAGAGACCCACAAATCACAACAAAGAGCCATCAGAACTGGTTAAAGAAGACCGTCAGGGAGGATTGGGTGAGCAGTGCGAGCCTAGCTCTGGGTATGGTACTGAACTGGTCCTCATGTGGAAGAGAAGCAGAAGGGCCGTGGGATCCCGAGTGGCCAGACCAGAAAGCAATGTGACAAGAGAGATTACCCTCCAGTAGTGAGTCTTTCAGAGCCCCATTTAAAAATCGTATGCATGTAATATATAAGACAGTATTAGCCACATTTCAAAATACACTAAAGTAAATAAAGAATGAGATTTACACCTAAATATAAGTAGAAATTCTAATATTTCCTTCTTCAACTTGAGTGTTCTGCGTGCCGTGCTCTAGGTCTAAGACATATTCATTCACTGTGTACTTTACACAGTTTATTATGGAGTTACCATATTTCAGGCACTCTTCTTTGGAGGGCCAATTGTGAAACAACTTCGCTAATTATCAGTCCCCAAAAGGACCCCCATTCCATGAGGAAAATAGCAAAGATCATCACTGTGCCAACCACCAGAAATGGGAGTCCATATATACTTATGCCCACTGCATCCTGGGCTACTATGTAGGTCCACCATGCACTGGTTACCTATTTCCCTAAATCCAGTGAAAGAAAACATGTTCACAAGTTATGTGAAATGGATTTCTTTCTTATAGATAATTAACAAGGGACAGAAGTCTTGGATCCATTGTGTGTGGGTCCCCCAAGGCTGAAGACAGCTGAACAGGAAAGATGTAGTCTTGATGCGAATGCCCCACTTTCACAGCTGAGAGACCCTGAAAGGCAGCCCATCCTGGATTATATACCTCAGGGGCCACATGACACACTGGGCAAAGCTGTAAAGGACATCCTGCTCCCAGGGAAGAGAGGAACAAAACTCAGGCTGTCCCATGCAATTCCTTCCTAACTCAAGCTATTCAATTTCCTAAGAGGGACAGGTTTCAGG